GTTGATGCTGCTGATAATGGTTATGACGACGTTTGTACGATTAGGATGGTGCTGCTGATGCTGATGTTGCTGATGCTGATGTTGCTGATGATGATGTTGATTGTGATGTTGATGATGCTGGTGATAACAATGATGATGCTGATGATGACGATGGTGAGTATGATAATCATGCTGCTGCTGATGATGAGGATGAGGATGAGGAGGAGGAGGATAATTCCGTCCATGTGGGTACTATAATGCTTGTGCCTGTGATTCTGTTGGCGGTGATTGGGGTGTCGATGCTGAAGGGGACGGCGACGGTGATGGTGATGGTGATGATGATGGCAATGCTGGCAGTGATGATGATGGCGATGGTGATGGTGATGATGATGGCAATGCTGGTGATGATGATGCTTATGATGATGAGTTTCATTATTGTGATAATGAGGATGATGATGATGATGATGATGAGGATTCTGACGATGATGTTGATGATAATGCTGCTGTTGGTGATGATGATGATGATGATGATGATGATGGTGATGATGATGATGATGATGATGGTGATGCTGGTTCTGGTGATGGTGATGATGCTGAGGCTGTTGGTGGTGGTGCTGCTGATGGTGATGCTGCTGCTGATTCTGATTATTTCTGCGGGTGATGCTATGCTAAACTGGTGAACATTACGATGTTGACAGTGATGGTGGTGGTTGTGAATATGATGATGAACATGCATAGACGCAAGGGGGACGAGGAACGGCAGGAGGACACGCCGGATAATGACAGTGAGGATAAGGATGAGGATGAGGAGGAGGCGGAGGAGGAGAAGGAGAAGTAGGAGGAGGAGGTGGAGGAGAGTACCAGGTTGCGATTTGTTGTGGCTATCGCCGATGCAGTGGTCAGCAGCGCAAGACCGCAGGTACTGGCCGATCGAGGCGCACGGTGCCTTCGAGCAGCGCTCTCCGAGCCCTTCTTGCTCGGGCCAGTACAAGAGATCGAGATCCTCTGCACTCGTTGTGCCCGCTTCGGAGGAGGATGAGGATGATGAAGAGGAGGACGAGGACACAGATGATGATGCTGATGATGATGATGATGATGATGATGCTGATGATGATGATGATGATGATGACCATGATGATAATGGTGATGGTGATGATGACGATGATAATGATGATGTTGATGATGATGATGATGAGGATGATGAGGCTGATGATGATTATGAAGAAGGTGATGATGATGATGATGATGATAGTGATGATGCTGATGATGAAATTGATGAGGATGATGATTATGATGATGATCATGCTGATGCTGAGTATGATGATGATGATGCTGATGCTGATGATGATGATGATGATGATGCTGCTGATGATGATGATGATGATGCTGCTGCTGCTGATGATGATGATGATGATGATGATGATGGTGGTGGTGGTGATGATGATGATGATGCTGCTTCTGATGATGATGATGATGATGATGATGATGGTGATGAAGATGATGATGCTGATGATGAACATCAACCCAGCGACGGGCGAGCGGGGTGCTCAGGGAATGTGTGTGTGTGCGTGTGTGTGTGTGTGTGTGTGGGGAGGGGGAGAGGGGGAAGTGGTGAGGGGGCTGTCCTGGGTGGCCAATGCGTCATGGTATCTGCAATCCTGCGTATCGGAGCGAGGGGATGAGGTCGGAATGCGGGTCGCACGGCCGCGGTTCGAGATTGGAAGAAACGCGCTCAGGATCCCTCTTCCCCATCCTCGTCTTCCTCGCCCTCCTCGTCGTCTTCCCCTTTGCCTCCTCTCCTCCACCTCCTCCCCTCCTCCTCCTCCTCTGCCTCCTCCTCCTCCTCCTCCTCCTCCTGCCCACCTCTGGCAGGTAAGATGCACCGCGCCATGTACCCAGGAAGTCCGTAGGTGAGAGTTCGTGCCCCCCCCCCCCGGCCCCCTGCCTGCCCGCCTCAGGAGAGGGCGGCCGTGCTGGCGGAGCTTGGCGTCGACATAGGCATCCTTCCAGGGCGCTTGACAGATGATGACGAGGAGGAGGAGGAAGAGGAGGAGGAGGAGGATGAGGAGGGAGAGGAGGAGGATGGGAGGGAGAGGAGGAGGAGGAGAAGGAGGAGGAGGAGGGGGAGGAGGAGGATGAGGATCATCAGCAGGATAGTTACCACGTGATGATGTCGGTGAAGCCAACGATGCCCGCAATGATCCCGACGATGTTGATATTGATGATGCTGATAGTGATGTTGATGATACTACTACCCATAATACTAACATTGATACTAACAGGAATGAGTATAGTGCTACTAACACTCGTAATGCTAATTCTAATGCTACTGATAATGCTATTAACAGTAATCCGAATGTTACTAGTAATTCTGATGATGACGATACCGAAAGATGTCGGCGACCAGAACGACTATGATGATGGTGATGATGATGATGAAGCTGATGATGATGCTAATGATGATGCTGCTGATTATGATGGTGGTGGTGGTGATGGTGGTTGTGGTGGGGTCGATGATGATGATCTTTGATGATGATCATGATGCTCATGATGATGATGATGATGATGATGATGATGATGATGATGATGATGGTGGTGATGGTGATGGTGATGGTGATTGTGATAGTGATAGTGATTGTGATGTTGTTGCTGATGATGGGGACGACGATGACGCTGATGTAGACGATGATTGCGATGATGTTTATGATGATGCTGATGATGATTATGATTGGGATGATGCAGCTGCTGATGATGATGTTGATGGTGATGATGATGCTGCTGCTGATGATGGTGATGCCGAGTATGATGATGCCAATGCTGTTGCTGATGATGATGCTGACGCTGCTGCTGCTGATGTTGCTTACGCTGACGACAATGATGATGACGATGAGGAGGATGAAGAGGAGGAGGAGGAGGAGGGGGAGGAGGAGGAGGATCAGGCGGAGGACGATGACCAAAAGGATGCTTTCGATGGGTATGGCGATGTGATGGTGGCGGCGACACCAAAGGTGACGGTGGTGGTGGTGGGTGATGATTGTGTTGTTGAGGACGGCGACGATGGTAATAGTGAGGAGGATGAGGGCGGTGGCTGTGATGGTGGTTATGATGGTAATCGTGGTGCTCAGGATGATGATGATGCTGATGATGATGATGATGCTGATGCTGATGCTGATACTGCTGATGCTGATGATGATGATTATCATGATGGTGAGGAGATGGATGCTGATGGTTCTGATGATGATGGTGATACTGATGATGCTGATGATTCTGATGATGATGCTGATTCTGATGATGATGATCATGACGATGCTGATACTGATGATGACAGAGATGCTAGTGATGTTGTTGATGGTTTTGATGATGATGTTGATTATGATGGTGATGATGAGGATGGTGCTGGTGATGATGATGCTGATGCTGATGTTGATGTTGATTCTGATGATGATTATGATGATGGTGATGTTGATGATGTTGATGCTGATGATGCTGATGATAATGATGATGATGCTGATGATTATGCTGCTGATGATGATGGTGATGATGCTGATGATGTTGATTGTGATGGTGATGCTGATGATGGTGATGATGAAGAAGAATAAGCTAATGAAAAAGATTCTGATGCTGATGCTGATGCTGGTGCTGGTGCTGATGCTGATGCTGACGATGATGATGCGGATGCTGATTGTGATGATGGTGATGATGATGATGATGATGACGATGACGATGACGATGAAGATGATGATGATGATGATGATGATGATCATGATGATGATGATAATGATGATGATGATGATGATGACGATGACGATGATGATGATGATGATGATGATGCTGATGCTGATGCTGATGCTGATGATGATGATTATGCTGATGATGATGATGATGATGATGATGATGATGATGATGATGATGATGATGATGATGATGATGATGGTGATGGTGATGGTGATAGTGATGGTGATGGTGATGAGGAGGAAGAGGACGAGGACGGGGACGATTATGATGAGAAGGTTCAGGGCGGGGAGGAGGAGGATGGGGATGGCGAGGGGTGATGTGAGAGTGGGATGAGATAGGGTGGAGGAGGACAGGGGGAGGGGGGGCGGGGGAAGGGGGAAGCAGTGAGAGGGGAGTGGCAGACACGGGGCGCATCATGACATCCTCCCCCTCCCGCCCGTTCCTGCCCGTCTCTCTTGCCATCTTTCTTCGCGGAGCCTCCCCGCTCCCTTTCCCCCCAGCCTTCTCCCCTGCGTTCCTCCCTGTGGACCCTTCCCCTGCCCCCATGGGCTGTGCCTCGGGATTCTGGGGTCCTGTGGCCGCGCTTCTCCACATGTTCGCCTCTTTCCCAGAGTGACGGCCTGCAGAACGTGTCCACTCCCCGAGTCCTCGAACTCCGCCCACCTGCTGTTCATCCTTCCTCGTCGTCCCCGCGCTCGTCGTCGCACTTGTCCCCTCCCCTCCCCTCCCCCTGTCCTCACTCCTCCCTCTCTTGTCCTCCTCCCCGTCCTCCCTGCTCCTGGTCCCCGTTCTCGTTTTCGCCCACCCTCCCTCCCTGCCCAGCCGACTACCCCGACGACTACGACGACCCTCAGAGCAGCGCGGTCATCCGCGGGAGCAGCCGCCGGGCGAGTAAGGACAGCCAGAGCAGCGCTGTCATCCGCGGCGGCAGCGGCGGCAGCCGCCTGGGCAGCCGGATGCTGGAGCTCAGCGGGCTCTCGTTGTGAGGAAATGGGGCAGGAGGGCGCGAGGGCGAGGGGGGAGGCGGTGGATGACGAGGACGAGGAGGGGCGGGGGCAAGTGGAAGAGGAGGAGGATGAGGAGGAGGGGAGGATGAGGAGGAGGAGGAGGACCAGAGTAGCCCAACTCGAGGTGCGACAGGGAGACGCTCTCTGTGAGAAGAAGAGATGGAATAGGCGAAAGAGGAGCCGAAGTTGCTGGAGGTGCTGGGAACGGAGGAGGCGGAGGAGGCCAAGGCTTGATGACGATGATGATGGTGATACTGATGATGATGATGATGATGATGATGCTGATGATGATGATGATGATAATGATGATGATGATGATGATGCTGATGATGATGATGACGATGATGACAAGGACGAGGATGAGGACAAGGACGAGGTGGAGGAGGAGGAGGAGGAGGACGACGAGCACGACTAGGATGACGGTTTTGAATATGATGACTTTTATGATGATGATAAGGAGGAGGCCGATGATAAGAAGGATTATGTTGACGATGATGATGAAGGTGGTTTTGATTACGATGAGGATGGTGATGATGATGGTGTTTATGATGATGATGATGATGACGAGGATGGTGATGGTGGTGGTGGTGGTGGTGGAGGGGATGGTGGCGGTGTTGATTGTGGCGATGCGGCAGTGATGCTGGTAATTATGATGATGACGACGATGCTGACTATGATGATGATGAAGAAGCTGATGATGAAGATGATGCCTTTGGCGATGCTGCTGGTGATGATGGTGCTGATGATGATACGGATGATGATGATGATGATGATGATGATGATGATGATGATGATGATGATGATGATGGTGATGGTGATGATGATGATGATGATGATGATGATGATGATGATGATGCTCCTGATGATGACGATGATGATGGTGATTATGCTTATGAGGGTGATGATGCTGACGATGATGTTGACGCTGATGGTGATAATGAAGAGAAGGTTACTGATCATGAAGATGATGATTAGGTGGATGATGACAACGAAACACATCAATATGACAGTGAAGGCGAAAATGACGACGACGCTGATGATGACCGTGAAACTATTGCTGATGCCGATGATGCTGTTGATGCTGATGATGCTGATGCAGATGTTGATGCTGACGGTGAAAATAATGATGATGGTGATGATGATATTGCTGATGAGTGTGATGATGATGCTGGTGATAGTAATGGTGATGATGATGGTGATTGTGATGGTGATGGTGGTAATGATGATGACGATGATGAAGATGATGCTGCTGCTGATGGTGGTGACGGTGACGGTGACGGTGACGATGACGATGACGATGACGATGGCGATGACGATGACGATGATGACGATGACGATGACGATACGATGATTATGTCGATGATGATGCTGCTGCTGATGATGATGATGATGCTAAGTGATAGGATTATAGTGTAGATGGTGGTGATGGTGATGATGATGTTGTTGGTAATGGTCATGGTGATTGGGATGAAGAGGATGAGGAGAGATGACGAGTAGGACGAGGAGGAGGAGGCGGAGGAGGAGAAGGATGAGGAGGAGGAGGAGGAGGAGATGTACTCCGGACCCGCGTATGTGCAGGACACGCATGCGAAGGAGACGGGCCTGGTCTCCAGGGTCACTTATCTTGATGTGCCGTCGCACGCGGATTGTTTCTATTGGCCGGTGCCGCCGACCCTGAAGGGGAACGACGACGACGACGGCGGCGGCGGCGACGACGACGACGCTGACGTGGGTCCGAGTCCTCAGAGATGCTTTTTGCGGTCTCTTCGGAGCGCTCTCGGGGGCGTCTGGGGGGCAGCTTTGGAGCCACTTGGGAGCCTCTTGGGGGTCTCTTGGGGCTTCTTGGGGGCCTTCTTGGGGGCCTCTTGGGCCGTTGCGATTTTGGGGGCCTCGTGGGACGTCTTGGAGCGTGGGGAAGCCGAAGAGGCGAGAACGCCCAAATCTGTCAAAAACCAAAGGGAACTAAATTCAGTTTGCCTCGTGGGGCCCTGGTGGGCCACTCGCGGAAGTGCTCTTGGAGACCTCTTGGGGCGTCTTCGATGCCGCTTGGGCTGTCTGGAGGCTATCTTGGGCGTCTTGGACCGATCGGTTGCCGATTCGGGGCCCGCTTGGACCGTCTTGGCGGCCTCTCGGGGCACTCTTGGCCTGTCTTGGGGCCCTTGTGGGCCCCTGGACCCCCCGGGAGATGGTATTCTGACTTGGCACCCCTCTCAACACACCCCCGCCCCCAGGACCCCCCCCAGCCCAGGAGCCCCCTGGGATCCCCCCGGACCCCCCCCCAGGCCCCCCCTTCCGGCAGGGAAGGGATCGAAGGAAAGTGTTTCCCTTTCGATTTAACTACGACGATCTTCAATTTTTTTTTTTTCCTGACTTTCCTTGGGACTGACGGCGACGACGACGACGACGAAACCGGGAAAGCGTCTTACACACGCCGCAGCGTCGGCAGATTTTGATTTCAGTGCGGTGCCGCCTGTGCGTGGGGTTCCTTCCCACGGTTGGGCGCCAGCGCTAGGGGGCCACATGTGAACCCTACCCCTACCCCCCACGATTTCTGAGGGGGAGGGTGGGGTTCACATGTGGCCCCCTAAGCGCTCCGAATTCCGAAGACAGGAGGATTGGGAGCGAAGCAAAGATGTACGCGTACATGGATTCCCATGGGCTTCGAGACAGCGCGTTGCGCGAGCATTTGTGACATGAGGGTGGTCTTGCGAACTGGAGGACGTATTCACGTACGTGGCTGGGCGCGTACGTCTTTTTGGCCTCCCTAGCGCTAATGCGCGTGGCTGGGCACGTACATCTTTTTCGCCTCCCAGGAGGAGGAGGAGGAGGAGGAGGAGGAGGAGGAGGAGGGAGGAGGAGGAGGAGGAGGAGGAGGAGGAGGAGGAGGGAGGAGGAGGAGGAGGAGGAGGAGGAGGAGGAGGAGGAGGAGGAGGAGGAGGAGGAGGAGGAGGAGGAGGAGGAGGAGGAGGAGGAGGAGGAGGAGGAGGAGGAGGAGGAGGAGGAGGAGGAGGAGGAGGAGGAGGAGGAGAGAGGAGGAGGAGGGAGGAGGAGGAGGAGGAGAGGAGGAGGAGGAGGAGGAGGAAGGAAGAAGAAGAAGAAGAAGAAGAGAAGAATAATAAGAAGAAGAAGAAGAAGAAGAATAAGAAGAAGAAGAAGAGAAGAAGAAGAAGAAGAAAGAAAGAAGAATAAGAATAATAAGAAGAAGAATAAGAAGAAGAAGAAGAAGAAGAAGAAGAAGAAGAAGAAGAATAAGAAGAAGAAGAAGAATAAGAATATAATAATAATAATAAGAAGAAAAAGAAGAATAAGAAGAAGAAGAATAATAATAATAATAATAATAATAAGAAGAAGAAGAAGAAGAAGAATAATAAGAAGAAGAAGAAGAAGAAGAAGAATAAGAAGAAGAAGAAGAAGAAGAAGAAGAAGAAGAAGAAGAAGAAGAAGAAGAAAAAGAAGAAGAATAAGAAGAAGAAGAAGAAGAGGAGGAGGAGGAGGAGGAGGAGGAGGAGGATAAGCAACAGGCATTCAAAGCGGCGCCTGGGGAGGGGCCTCGACCACCTCGCGCCGGCCCGCCAGCCCCGCTCGAGGTTTCCCCACGGCGGCCTCGCCGCCGCCGACGCCCTCACGGTGGGCAGCGTCTCTCGGGCCGCCGACGCGGAGATCTGGAGCGCCCCGCCATGCGTCCGCGCGGGTGCGCTGCCGTCCGGGCTCTGGACTGCATAGACAGCTGCAGCTGCACCGCTTCCATCGGTTCTCTTCCCGGAGCCGACTTCACGTGTCTCGGGGGTGGACAGAACCCCCAATCGTCCGTTTTCGGTTCTCGAGAGGGCGCCGCGGCCGTTATTTTCCAGGCTTGCGCCCGCCAGGTTTGGGCCTCAGGTCGTTTTCACTAAACCACGTTTTGCTAAAGGGAGGTCTGTCCATCCCCGAGTGTCGCCGCGCAGGGTGTCTTGAACGCGCCCGTTGAAACGAGATCGGCACCGCGGCAAACCCCACGGTGAGCATTGCCCTGGTGGCCGAGGCTCCTCCCCCAAGGCGCAAGGCCGCGCGTCGGAACAAACGACGCGGCGACATGTGGAGCATGGAAAATGACCTGTGCAGCACGGTTCAGCATGCCGATGCGGAGATATGGAGTGCCCCCCCCTTGTCCCTCTGCCTGCCCAGGCCCGGCAGCCATTTCCCCCTCCACCCTCGGGCCTTTCGCAGGGGGGGGTGCGGTGCACGCCAGTCGCTGAATGTAGGTAGTTCTGGATCCCCCGATCCCACTCTGCCTCAAGCGCCTTCCTGCTTCAAGCATCGGTCGCCTTTTCTTCATTCTGTTACTCGCTGGGCGGGCCCGAACCCAGTCTGCTTTATCCGCCTTCCTACTTCCAGAATCATCTTCTTTTGTTGTTTTGGCTCAAGCCATTTTTGGCTCAAGCCAGCTTTGTCTCAAGCCAGCTTCCGTTCCTGTGAGGCGATCTCGACACACGATTTGCTCATACTCTTTGGTTGACTGGGGTGGCGCCCTCCAGCATCAAGGTTTTAGCGGGCTTTGTCATACACGATGGCGACGAGGAAGAATGACGACCACACGGGGGAGACTCCAGAGGAAAAGAAGGCCAAGACCGGGAAGGACGAGGAGAAGATGAGCATCGACGATGACGACGACCTCAACGACGACGATGCGGGTGAGGGGCCTAAGGCGATGGTCGGCATGATGAAGAAGATGATGACTATGATGAAAGGTATGAAGAAGGACATGCAGGAGGTAAAGTCAGACATGGGCGAAGCGGCCAATACCGCTAAGCAGGCTAAAGTCACGGCGGATTTGGCCATGGAGACAGCGGATATGATCAAGCAGGAGGTTTCCACACTACGGGATGATCTACCCAAGTTGGTAAAAGGCATCATCAAGGAGGAAATTCTTACCGGGAAAGGGCTTTCGACGACGGGAGTCGGTGGTCAGGCTAAGGGCAAAGGGAAGGGTAAGACAGAGGGGGAGGAGGAGAAGTTGGGTCGCACCGTGAACTTCGGGCGCTTCCCTGAGGACAGCAAGGCGCAGGATATCGTGAAGTTCATGGAAGGCGTGCTCGCCGAGGCCAGGGAGGACGTAGAGGAGCTTTTCGCTTATGGGAAAACATTTGCGGAGCGTGGTGGGGCACGGTTTAAAACATCCGAGGCTATGTGGAATTACATGGGCAAGAAGGCGGGCCAATATGTTCACAAATACAAGGGCCAGAACATATACTGCAACACGGACTCCAAGTACAGGGACCCGACATCGGAGGATGCAAAACGTGAGCGGGCGGTCCGGAAGGTGGTGAGGACGATCATCGAGGTCAACGGGGGCAATGGGGCTACGGTGAAAACCAACATCGACACCAATTACCTCAAGGGCATTGTGTGGTTCAAGGATGAGCGGGTGGCAGCATGGGTGGATGGCAAGATGGATTTGGTTGGGGCGGGTATTGCCTGGAAGGACCATTTCGAAAAACTCTACGCCACAGAGTAGGAGGAGGAGAACGTGGAGGTGGAGGTAGGAACAGGGGGGTCCCAGGGAGGAGGCAGAGGAGCATATGCCAATGTGTGCGGGGACGTACCGGTGACGCTACTCCAACGCGCTGGAAGGATGAAGCTTGGGACTCTTGGCCAGGCTGACACTTCAGAGAGCGGGAGGGGGACGGGTCATGGCGACATACCAGTACATGATTGTTTCGTTACTCTTTCATGGAATGCGTGTGGTATGGAGGAGGGGTGCATACAGGATGTTGCTGATATGCTCGACGAGGGTCCGGCGTGGGATATTCTTCTATACCAGGAGGGGCCTCGCGCGGAGCATCCAACGGAAAAGGTTTTGGGATCAGGTCACCTGTGGTTTTCTTCGAAGGAGGCCTCCACTAAGAGAGGCGTGGGCGTTCTATTGCACAAGCGTTGGGTACAGCAGGATGCTGAAACACGTTTCAATGCCCCTACGGCTACGCTATGTTACGTCGATGTCGATTTGCCCGGTACGTGTATTCGTTTTGTGTCTTCCCACTTGCGCCATTCCCGAGCTACGGAAGAGGAGTTCGAGGAGGGCTTGGCTGAATTGGAGAAGGCCGTATTCGGCGCACGTGGGGCGGGGAGGAGGGTAGTGACAGGCATTGACGCGAACGCAGTGCTTGGGAAACGACAAGCATACGACGACCCCCAGGTAAGAGGACCTTTTGGGCACGGGGGCCGGAATGAGCGAGGGCATCTATTCAGTCATTGGTTACATGGTGTTCGTTGTATTTCAGCGGCAGGTTTGTTTGAACGGGAATGGGAAAACACATGGACGCACAAACTATGGAGCACTGGGGAATTGCGACGAATCGATTATTTGCTAGTCGACTCTGCGCACGCCGAGCTTGTACAGGACGTGGGTGTTTGGAGACAGTTGGAGGGCGAATCTGATCATAGGGCGATCTTCGCTGAAGTAGCGTGCAAATACACACCACCACAGAGAGCAGTACGGGAACGAAGGATGAGGGGATGGGCGCCGGAGCTGGATGACGACGGCAACCCGACCAATTACCACGACTTGCTGACGAAGGCCCTCTCAGAAGGACACTCCGACCTTACAGATGTGAACGGCTTAGTGGTGACGGCCGCGCGGACAAGTCGTTCCTGCAACAGCAACCCTCCACGGTTCCAGTCCGAGGAGGTGCAGCAGTTGTTCTCCGAAAGGCGGGCGGCGACGTGCCCGGCAACACGGCAGGAGCTTTCGAAGAGACTTTGGAGGGCTTTGCGACGACAGCGACGGGTACGACAGGGAAGGGAAATTGATGATTTGGCAGAGAAGGGCAAAGGCATCCGAGCATTGCAAAGAGTACAGCAGAGACATGGGGGCAATGAAAGGATCGCAGCAGTCACAGACAGCGAAGGGGTGCGAGTTTCAGACAGTGGAGGGATCGCTGATGCATTTGCTGATTTTTACGAGGCTCTGTACAAGGACACTCGCGCGGAGGACTTGGAGGAGCAGGAGTTGGATGGCATAGTACCCCGGGTGACCGTAGGAGAGCTCACAACCGGCCTATGCAAGATGAAAAAAGGACGAACTTGCGCAGACGACGGCCTGGTGTCCGAGATGCTACAGACAGGACACACCGAGCTTCTGGAGACTATTGCGGAATACTTCTCTGATATTATTTCGGGGCGCATGGAGCCTCCACAGGAATGGAAAGCTGCCCGTTTGTCAGTGATATTTAAGAAAGGAAAGCGCTCGGAGCTTAAAAACTATAGGCCGATCTCCATTATACCTGTCATGACAAAGTTATTCAGCACTGTTTTATATTTCCGTATACAAGCAGCTGTGGAGAAAAGGCTTCAAGAGGAGCAATATGGTTTCCGCACTGGGCGTGGTTGCGATGACGCGGTGCACGTGCTGCGCATGGTGGTTGAAAAATCTGCCGAATGGGGAGAAGATCTATGGTTGGCGGCGCTGGACGTGGAGAAGGCGTTTGACAAGGTGCATCACGACGAATTGTTCGATTCTCTGCTTTCTTCCAACATTGACGTCTCTGTCGTGAAGGTTCTGCGAAAGCTTTACCGGGGCATGGAGGCGTACGTGCAGCTGTGGCCAGGCGTGGAGAGTCGACGATTTCAAGTTCAACGCGGCGTGCGTCAGGGCGACCCGCTCTCGCCGGTATTGTTCAACCTCGTGATGGTGCAGGTGTTGGCAGAAGCGCAGGCAACGTGGCAACGAAGAGGATACGGCACAGAAGTCGGGCGGGGATTGGACGGCAAGCGGCTTGCCCACGTCGCCTTCGCAGACGATGTTATTTTGGTGGCGCGGTCATGGCTTTCGCTCAAGAGGATGGTGTTGGAGCTACGACGTCTGCTGCTGCTTCGTGGTTTGCGCTTACACCCCAGTAAATGCAAAGCACAGACGAATATCCCGGCATGGACGAGAAGGGGGGACGTTGTTTTAGAAGATGGCTTTTCTCTGCAAATATTAGAGGAGTCAGAGTGCCTGGAGGTGCCAGGCGCATCGGTGTCACTCACAGACCCAAACAAGCCTGAGATCGATCACCGGCTGGCAGTGGGGTGGCGAAAGTTCTGGGCTTTGAAGCGCCTGTTGCTCAACGCGAATGTCTCGGTCAATAAACGCATGCGCCTGTTTGACGCCACGGTGGGCAGCGCAGTGCTCTATGGATCTCATTCCTGGACGCCGCGAGCGGAGGAAACGCAGCGGTTGCGAACAGTTCAAAACAACATGCTCCGGCGGATCCTAGGCTGCAGGCGCGCCCCCGACGTGCCTTGGATCGAGTGGCTTCAACGCGCCACATGGAAAGCTCGTGCGAAAGCGCGGGAGGCTGGAGTGAGAGACTGGGTCGAAGAGCACGCCCGGAAGAAATGGCTGTGGGCAGGGCACGCTGCCAGAAGGAGTATGTCAACTTGGGTCCGCAAGGTCACAGAATGGCGTGACTCTGACTGGACAAAATCGGTAGCAGACTGCGCATGGCGCACGCGACGTCCATCGAGAAGAAGGTGGATGAAATGGGAAGATGCTGTTCGGCGTTTTACCGCTGACAACGACATCGGTTCGTGGACAAAGCAGGCACTGGACCGGGACTGGTGGGCATCCAGAGTCGAGACGTTCGTCACGTGGTTCATGAAGCAATGAGGCGGCACGCGCTGAGCTGCGCCCCTCGCGGGCCCCTTCGGGGACGCAGCCACTTCCACTTCCACTTCCACTTCCACTTCCACTTCCACTTCTTTTGTTGTTTTTGCTATTCTTTGGGCGGGCCCGAGTCCAATCTACCTGATCTGCCTTCCTGCTTCGTATTTCTGTTTGCTTCTTCCAACTGCCGGGTCAATGGGGCTGGTTCGAGGGTTGCAGGGGAGGGGGCCCTCGGGGTGTGCCTCAAATCGCCTCCACCAAACCACCCCATACCCAACCCGAAGGCCCCCCCAAACCCTCCATTTCCAGTAGGGGGGGCGTCGGGGAACATGGAAAAACACAGATGGGACTCGTACCCCCTCCCCAACCCGAAAGTCGGGTCTTCGGATTGGGTTGGGGTGGTCTGGTAGGTAGTTTCAAACAGGGGCCCCGACGGTATGGGAAAGGTCCGCCTCTCTTCGCCCCCCCCACCCTCCCCCCCTCCATCAAGCAACGCCCGACCCTCCTCCTTCCAGTTCGCCCCCCCGCTCGCCCTGCCCTCCCGCCCCCCCTCCTCGCCCCCCTTACCCCCGCCCCTTTCTTTGTCGTGCCCCCCTCGCCCCCCCCCCCCTCGCCCCCCCTCCTCGCCCCCCCCCCCTCGCCCCCCTGCCCCTCCGGCTGGCCCCCTCTCGCCCCCCCCTTCCTTTCTTTGTCGTGCACTGGTCGCTTCGGCACGGCCTCTCCAGGCAGCTTCTTCGCGGTTCCGCGCCTGCACGTGGCAGTCGCTTGTTGGCAACAGCGCAGTGCTCATTTGGTGCCCACGCGTTCTGTGCTTGGACTCTGCGTCGACCTTGTTAGACGCGACCAGACTGTGCTGGTGATCCCGTCCTCGTCTCAGGAATGAGTGGCTTTACGTAGCTTTGCGTTCTGCTATCTTATCTGGCAGCGATCTAAATATTCCAGACTCGTTCTGAGAGCGAGGCGTATTCGACGAGCACGGGCCGTTGCTGAGAGGATCCCGTCATAACGTGGCACGATGTTGCATTGCGCAAGCAGGACATCTGTGATTCCGAAATCACCCCTGTTCTCCCGCTTCTATCTTCACGCCATCATCTATGCGCTACCCTCCACCTTTCATTCTCCATCATGTCTCCATCCTCCTCAATCCTTCATCGTCAGTTCTGCATCCTCTACCCTTCTTCTTTCATCCCCGCTCCCCCGTGTCCCCTCCCTCCCCTCCCTCCGTCTCTCGTCTCCTCACTCCGTGATATCTCTCCCTCCTCCTTCCCCCCCTCTCCTCCCTCCCCTCTCTCCCTCTCTCCCCTCTCCTCGCTATCTCCCTCTCCTCCTCCCCCCTCCTCCTCCTCCTCCTCCTTCTCCTCGTCCTCCTCCTCCTCCTCCTCCTCCTCCTCTCCTTTCCTTCCCTTCCTCCCTCCCTCTCTCCTTCTTTCCCTCCCTTCCCTTCTCGCACTCCCCCCCTCGCCTCTCCCCTCCCCCTCCCCTGCTCTTGGTCATCCCTCCATTTTCACCCCCCCTCTCTCGTCTCCCTCTCTCCCTCCCTTTCCCCCTTCCTCTCCCCGAATCCCCTTCTCCGTTCCCCCCCCCTCTGCCTCCCCCCCATCTCCCACCCCGCCATGCTGCTGCCGCTGCTTCTCCTTCTCTTGCTCCCTCTCCTCGGCGGGCCGGGAGTGCTTCCTCCTGCCACCCCCGTCCCCTCCTGCTCCTCGGGGGCCCCGAAATCGTTGTGGTGACGCGGCGCGGTGCGCCCGTGGGGACTCGGGGCCATCGCGCGGCTTTGGGACTCGGGCCGTTCCCCGAGGGTGCCTCGGACCACCGGGGCCTCCAGGGGTCCCCGAAGCCGCGCGGCGGCTCCCGGCACGAGCGACATGGGTACGGAACGAATGGGACCAATGCCCAGCAGCAGTTCCTGTACATTTTGAGCAGGTCTCGCCGTCCGCGCCGCCTCGGCCGTGCCCGTTTGAGACGGAAGGCCGCCTGCCCAACAGCTGCCGCTGTGGGTTTGGGGCAACATTTGCTGTTGGGCATTGTGCCAATTTTTCCCTACCCATTTCGGGCGTTCAAAGTGACGGACCACGCGGTGAGGTCGTCGGGGGCTCCGAAATCACCGCGCGGTCCGTCACTGCACGGCTTTGTGGGGCGCCCGGAGCTCTCCCCTTGCCTCCCGCCTCCTCGCCTCCTCGCCTCCCCGCTTCCCCGCTCCTGGCCTCGAGGTCGAAGGGCTATCCTGGATGGATTCCCGGACTGCTGCAGGGGCCAGCGAGCCAGAGGATGGAGGAGGAGGAGGAGGAGGTGGAGGAGGAGTAGGAGGAGGAGGACCAGTGTAAACCCAAGACTCATCAACGATATTGCAATCGACCCTCCCTCCAAGCTCACTCTTCATAGGCTCTTCCACGGATTCATTTCCACTGAAGGAAATGCCCCGTTGGAAGAGAACCGATTAAAAATCCGGAATTGTTTCAGAACGCCATGTCTGGGATTTCAACACCGCGAATCAGCGTTACTGCTACGTCTTGGCGATCCTGAATCGTGGCTGTTGCGCCCAGAAATTCCGACATCGTGCCAACACACCATGTCTGGGACGTTAAGACGAGAATGCTTGAAACGGTTACAGAGATTTAAAGCGAATGTGCGCAGCGCTAAGATGAGAGCTACATTTTGAAAAGGAACCGCCCTCTTTCTGCGAAGCTTGTGAACAACCTTTCAGACGAATGTGCGCGGCGCCAAGGCGAGAACTACTTTTTGAATGGAACCGCCCTCTACCCGTGAAGCTTTTGCGAACTTTGAGAATATGCGCTGCGCCAAGGCGAGAGCCACATTTTGAAAACGGGCCGCCCTCCATCCGTGAAGCTCTTGCAATGTTTCAGACGAACGTAAGCGACGCTAAAGCGAGAACCACATGTTCAAAGCATGCCGCCCTTCATCTGTGAGAATGTTGCAAATGTCAAACTCCAGGATCGTAAGTTGTGAGGAAGTCTCAGGCGAAACGCCCGGCCCACTCTTTCGACTGGCCCCCGGGCGCGAAAGGGAGGAGTTATGTATAAGGAATAGGTACAGATTGAGGAGGCGGAGGATGACGGGGAGGAGGAGGCGAGTCAGAATAATATCTAAGGATGGTGGATCAAATAGCTAGAAGAGAATAATACTAAGAAAAGCAATGATAGTGTTCATACCAAACAGAATATTCATACTACTCATACTCATAATATCCGTAATACTAAGCGATACTTGTAGCACTAACCATACTAATCAGACGATTAGACATACTAATAAGAAGGCGACGAACAGTATGAATCATATTTCTACTAAAGAGGAGAACGATACGAACAATAATACTGATACGAAGAAGAATTGTAGTCATACGAATAAGACGAATGACGAAACATAATAGTACGAATGCTAGTTGTAATTTTGAGAAACACAACGAGAATCATAGTACTCAGCAATAAGACTGTTACTACTAATACGTATAGCAATACTGAATATGAAGAGCAATGCGAACACGAATGATAATACTGCTACGAAGAAGAATACGTATACGACTAAAAATAATCATACCATTATTACCAATAATGATATCAGGAGCACTCGGCAAGCTAAGTATGATACTAGTACTACTACTCATGATAGTAAGACTAAGAATACTAATGAGGCGAAGACGAAGAAACAGAGGATTATGAAGGTTATGGTGGTGGTGATGATGATGAGGAGGAGGAGGAGCAGGAGGAGGAGGAGGAGGAGGAGGAGGAGGCGGAGGAGGAGGAGGGAGGTGGAGGAGGAGGAGGAGGAGGAGAGGAGGAGGAGGAGGAGGGAGGAGGAGGAGGTAGGAGGAGGAGGAGGAGGAGGAGGAGAGGAGGAGGAGGAGGAGGGCTCCTGGCTCCGGCCCCTCCGCGCTCACAGACGGCCCCGCGCCCTCCCGCCAGCGCCCCGCTGGCTCCTTGCAGGAGCCGCCTCCACCAGCAGCTGGCCAGCCTGCAGAAGAACGTGCAGGAGCGGCGGAAGGGCCGCCGGGCCCGTGTCCCTTCGGAGGGAGGGGAGGGGAGGGGAAGGGAGGGAGGGGAGGGAGGGGAGGGGAGGGGAGGGGAGGGGAGGGGAAGGGAGTGAGCTCGAGGTTTTCGGGCGTCTCCAGCGGTTTTCGGTGGCCTTCCAGCCTCGGGGTGCTCTCGTGCGGCGGGCGTTTTGGCGCTCCAGGGGCGCCAGGATCGTTTCGATCAGCCGCCAGGGAGCCGAGTCAGGAGCCGAGATCCATGGGGCGACGTCAGAGACGAGGGGGGAGGGAGGGAGGGAGGGAGGGAGGGAGGGAGGGAGGGAGGGAGGGAGGGAGGGAAGGAGCAGAGACGAGGGAGGGAGAAGAGAGGGGGCAGGGACGGAGGATTAAAAAGGAGGAAGGGGAGGAAGGGGAGGGACGGAGGGAGGAAGGGAGGGGCAGAGGACGGAGGCTCCCGGAGGTGGGATGGATGGATGGAAGGAGCGAGGCAAGGCGGAGCTGCCCTGGCAAGTCCGGAAATTGCTCAGATCATGGCGAGAATGGAGGAGGCCGCTTTGTCTCTGTAGCTGACTTCTGTTCAAGTCACTGTGCGCTAATCTCCAGCTCTCGGGTCTGACAGAAACTATAACGAAACGCCGAGCTGCCAGCCCACACTCGCAAGAATGCTGTAAGCGCGTACTCGCAAGTATACATGTGTAGCGCGTGCTGACGAATACGCATGTCAGCATTTCTCTTGGGTTCAAGCTGTTTGAAGCACTTGTTGCATCAATTGTGTGCTACTCCCTCGACTCTTGCCCGCTGACGGAGTCTCTGGGCCGTCGCTTGGACGTCATGCAGCGACGCATGCTGCGCCGCATGGTGGGGTGGATCTCGCGCTCGGACGACACCTGGGAGGACCATAGCCGCAGGGTGAAGCTCAAGCTTAACGCAGCCTTGAACAACTGTCTCCTATACGGTTGGAGCCACGTGGTGCGCGACAGGAACTCGACGTTCATCTGGCAACTACCATCGTGGCCGACACTCGCGCGTCAAGCGGCCGAGTGGCTGCCGCGGGACTGCAGCGACCTGAACTAGGCGAACCCTTCTCGGGGAAAGAGGGAGACCCGCCAAGAGGTGGGGCGATTTCACAAGCAGGGGCCCGGCGCTTTTCTCGTTTCTGTTTCTTCGTCTTCTTCCCCTCCTCCTTTCCCCCTCCCCTGCCTGAGCGCGCATGGTTCCAGCTCCAGTCCGTGCCCCGCACGGCGGCCGACTTCTGTTCGATCGGACCCTGCCGTAACGCGCACACGCGCACGCGCGTACACACGCATGTATGTATGTGTATATATATATATATACAGGGGAGAGAGAGAGAGAGAGAGAGAAAGAGAGAGAGAGAGAGAGAAAAGAGAGAGAGAGGAAGCAACAAAGGGAGAGCGAGAGAGAGAGAGAGAGAGAGAGAGAAAGAGAAAGAAAGAGAGAGAGAGAGAGGGAGAGAGAACGACGTGCGCGACGCACAAAGGTTGCATCACTCCTCAGCCCGCGCGACAGGGTTCCAACATCCCCACCAACAAAGAGCAGGAACATTCCAAACAAAAGAGAAGAGGAAGAGGAGAGGAGGAGGAGGAGGAGGAGGAGGAGGAGGAGGAGGAGGAGGAGGAGGAGGAGGAGAGGAGGAGGAGGAGGGGAGGAGGATGGAGGAGGAGGAAGGAGGAGGAGGAGGAGGCGGAGGAGGAGGAGGAGGAGGAGGAGGAGGAGGAGGAGGAGGAGGAGGAGGAGGAGGAGGAGGAGGAGGAGGAGGAGGAGGAGGAAACGGGAAAGGAGGAGGAGGAGGAGGAGGAGGAGGAGGAGGAGGAGGAGGAGGAGGAAGAGGGAGAGGCGACGAGGGATGGGAAATGAGAGGGGCGAGAAGGAAGACGGCCCGATGAGTGGGGATGATGGAAGGAGGGGGGGTGGGGCGTAGGGGGATGATGGGGACACAAGGTGGGAGGGAGCAGGGAGCAGGAGAGGCAGGAGCGGATAGAAAGATTTCTCCCCCGTCATCGGTCCTCTTCCCTACTTTCCTGCCTCGCCCTCCCTTTTTTCCTCCCCCCTCCCTCTCCCCTCTCTTTCCCCTTCCCCTTCCCCTCTCCTCCCCCCCGCCATATGCTACCCTCCCTCCCTCCCTGTCTCCATCCCTTCCCCCCCCTCTTCTCCCTCCACGCCCTCTCCTTTCCCCCCCCTTTACGTCCCTCCCTTTCCGTCTCGACTTCGCTGCTCCTCCCTTCCCGCCCTCCACAGTTCTCCTCCCCCGCTCCCTCCTCTAATTCCCCCCCCTCTCTGTCCTCTTCCACGTTCCTCGTTCTCCGAGCCGCAGGCGCGAGCTGCGCGCCTCCTTTCTTGCTTCTTGCCTCCTCAGTCCTCCTCTTCCTGTGCCGTGTTCATCTCTTGCCGGTTGCTCCTCCCTTGCGCGCTGCGGAGCAGCACTTCTAGCGGTGATGCGCAACGCTCGCGGATAAGTTAGTCATCGTCGCCTGGGGGGAGACACGCAACTCCCCTCTCACCTTTCCTTCTCCATTTTCCTTCGCATGATCTCGCAGGGCGGGCTCGTTCCCACGCCCGTGCTTGGGTGCGGACGGTTAGCGCGGCTCGTCGTCGTCGTCGTCGTCGTCGTCGTCGTCGTCGTCGTCGTTGTCGTCGTCATCGTCTTTGTCGTCGTCGTCGCCGTCGTCGTGGTCGCCGTCGTCGTCGTCGTCGTCGTCGTCGTCGTCGTCGTCGTCGTCGTCGTCGTCGTCTCCGAGTATTCCGGGCGTTTTCCCGGGGGGCGGCAAGGCGCCCGCCTCCGCCCGGCCGGGGGCGCAGGCGGGCTCCCGCTCCAGGGCTCGGGGCTCGCCGTCGTGGGCGTGGGCGTGGGCGTCGGCATGGTGCGTGCTGCTCTGCTCGGGGCCTCTACAGGCGGAGTGTTCCAACACAGGCAAAGATCGTCGGGGGACGATTTGTTTGGTATTATTTTTGATCATTGTTTGATTTGTCTTTGTTTTCTCCCAACATGCGCCTGTAGGAGGACATGCCCGATGACCGCCGCCCTCACCCTCTTCCCTCCACTCTCTCGGGGGCCGAGGCCGTCCCTCCGGTCTTTCGGCCCACGGAGACGGCCGTAGGAAAGGGTGCCACTGTACCTCCAGAATTCGGATCTGAATACCTGAAGGCGCCCACTGCCACCGTCCAGTGCTTTCCCCCTCGTCGTTTGCGATTCTCAGGTCCTCTACGCGCTCTTTGCACGCATCAGGCTCTGTGCAGGCGGTCATGACCTGACTGACATGGCGGCTGCGTTGCCCGGCCCATCTTTTGAGCGACCTGCGGATACTGTGAGCAGGGCATTTGTCGCAGGCCTAGAGTTTGACACCAACACCAATATCGGCAGTGTGCCTCCACCGAGGGAAGACGATCCCGATCTCGGTGATGGTGGTAATATTCTGGCTTCCAAGGTGGCCGGAATATTACCACCAACGCCGAAATCTAGGATCCTCTTCCCCTTGTGGAGGCAACCCCCTTGTGTTGGTGCTGGAGCCCATTTCCAGGCCTCCAAAGTTGCCTATGCCATCGTTGCGCGGGCCCCTCCCCCCCCCCAGAGGGCCGCGTGCGAACCCTACCCCTACCCCCCACGATTTCTGAGGGGGAGGGTGGGGTTCACTTCGCTTGGCCTCCCCCCCCCCCTTCCCCCGCGGCCGCCGCCTGCAGGACTTCGCGGCCAAGCGGTGCCCGCCGCCCAGCCCGCCGGCGGCGGCGGAGGCCGCGGCCCACCCGGAGTGCCTCCCCCCCTCGACGGGCCGCCCCCGCTTCCCGAAGGGGGGGCGGGGGGCGGGGGGCCGAGAGAGGGGGTGCGAGGGAGGGAGGGAGGGAGGCAGGGAGGGACGGAAGGCGGGAGGGACGGAAGCAGGGAGGGAGGGGGAGGGAGGGAGGGAGGGAGGGAGGAGGGGGGGCAGGGGAGGGGAGGGGAGGGAGGGGAGGAGGGAGGGAGGGGAGGGAGGGAGGAGGAGGTGGAGGAGGAGGAGGAGGAGGAACGGGACAGGAGGAGGAGGAGGAGGGAGGAAGGAGGAGGAGGAGGAGGAGGAGGAGGAGGAGGAGGAGGAGGAGGAGGGAGGAGGAGGAGGAGGGAGGAGGAGGAGGAGGAGGAGGAGGAGGAGGGAGGAAGAGGGAGGAAGAGGGAGGATTGGATTGGACACTTCGAGGGACAAGGCTGGGCCTTCCAGCAACGAAGGTTGGAGAGCAGACCCGGCGCCGCTCAGCGGCACTGGGCCCGTCTTCCAACCAACATGCCAGCAGGACCAACCTACTGAGAACACCGCCGTCTGCAACATGGTCCCGCGCAGGCTACAACTAGCCGGCCGCGCACGCTCGGCAGGCGCCGAACCGGCGCGCCCTCACACAGGCGATGCATTCAGGAACGCCAGGCACAAGATCTCCTGCGCCACTGCCGGACGTCCTGTTTATAGCCTCGATGCTCTTGCTGACAATGTCTGGCACACCGAAACGTGCAGCACGGAGATCGGCGAGAGCAGTACGATGAGCCAGACGCCCTGCACCCACAGGACGCACCTCATCACCAGGAGCACCGCGCTCATGAGGCTGCACATCTCCCGCGGCGGTGGCGGAAGCGCTCCGAGGATCACGACCCTGCTGCCATGGGTCGGAACGCTGAGCTTTGCCCCAGCCCTTGTCGTCCACCTTGGCCTTGCCGTAAACCGGAAGCATCCGACGAACAGCATCGACCGCACGACCAGCAGGGGGCCCGCCTCCATCATCCTGATCATCTCCTCCGCCGTCATCCTCGTGGGCCGGCGGAGCAGCATGCGGCCGCAGCGCGGCAGCTAGAGCGCCCGCGAGGCGCGAAGGCTGCACGCCGCGGTGCTCGGACAGGGCGTCCAAGGCACGCAGCAAGTGCGCCGTGACTCGGGCCTCAGCGCGCAAGTACTGAGCCCGCCTGGCCGCCGCCGACCGGTTGGGGCGGCGGCGCTTCGGCGCAGCGGCAACAGGATGTACCTCCATGGTACGGCCGGGGACGGCGGGGAGGCAGGGGCGAGGAGGGCGGCGCGGGAGGCGCCAATGGCGCGGGCTGGCAACCAGGCCCTGCCTGTGCCGAGCTGGCGCTGGAGGAAGAGGGAGGAAGAGGGAGGAGGAGGAGGAGGAGAGGGAGGAGGAGGAGAGGAGGAGGAGGAGGAGAGGAAGGAGGAGGAGGAGGAGGTGGAGAGGAGGAGAGGAGGAGAGTAGAAGTAGGAGGAGGAGGGAGGAGGAGGAAGGAGAGGGAGAGGAGGAGGAGGAGGAGGAGGAGTGAGGAGAGGAATGAGTTTGAAAGGGAGAAGAGGGAGGGAAGAGAGGAGGAAGGGAGGGAAGAGAGGGAGGAGGAGGGAGGAGGAGGTGGAGGAGGAGGAGTAGGAGGAGGAGGAGAGGAGGAGAGGAGGAGGAGGAGGAGAGGAGGAGGAGGAGGAGGAGGAGGAGAGGAGGAGGAAGAGGAGGAGGAGAGGAGGAGGAGGGAGGCGAGGAGGAGGCAGGAGGAGAGGAGGAGGAGGGAGGAGGGAGGAGGAGAGGACGAGGAGAGAGGAGGAGGAGGAGGAGGAGGAGGAGAGAGGAGAGGAGGAGGGAGGAGGAGGGGAGAGGAGAGGAGGAGGAGGAGGAGGAGAGGAGGAGGAGGAGGAGGGAGGAAGAGGGAGGAAGAGGGAGGAGGGAGGAGGAAAAGCAGGCGGGGAGAAGAGGGAGGAGGAGCAGGAGGGAGGAAAAGGGAGGAGGGAGGTAGTGGAGGGAGGGGATGGAGGGGAGGGCGGGGAGGGAGGGGAGGGAGGGAAGGGAGGGGAGGGAGGGGAGGGCGGGAGGGAGGAGGCAGGGGGCCTTCCGAGGATGGCCTGCCGCAGCGTGTGCATAGTTAGTTAGATGTGGTGGATTCGCTGGACGTTATCCCTGGGACTGGATCGGATCGACTCGGCAGGAGGAAGCGTCGTGTTCCGCAGCTCCATCTGGCCCCCCCCCACCTGGAGGATTGCAGGGATGGATCATTGAGTTCAAAAACCAGTCATGGGGGTATTTATGAGATCCCGCCCTGCCCAGCGGTCCCACGGGAGTGG